TAAAACATTTGCTGGATAAATTGGCGGTTCATTCCGCTGTGGCGACCTCAGATTATTAAAGGGACTAAGTTGAACAGAAAATGAATGACTTGTTATTAAACAACTTGAAGGTATTTTGTGGAACTCAGCATTTTAACAGTAAAGTTTTTTGTTTGTTTTAATATTTGTGTTAAATGTAAAGGTCACACCTTACAACAAGGTTCATTAGTTAATGTTAATTAATGCATTTACTAACATGAACAAACAATGAACAATACATTTACTACAGTATTCATTCATGTTAATAATCGTTAGTTAATGAAAATACAGTTGTTCATTGTTAGTTCATGTTAACTCATATTGCATTAACTAATGTTAACAAGCACAGACTTAAATGTTAATAATGCATTAGTGAATGTTCAATTATGATTAATAAATGCTGTACATGTGTTGTTCATGATTAGTTCATGTTAGCAAATGCATTAACTAATGAACCTTGTTGTAAAGTTACCAATTTAAATGACACCTTTTTTACCCAGTAAGTCCATATGTTGGGACACAAATTCATTTATTACTTTTTATAAATTTAAGTGGATTAAACAATTAAGTTGTCGCAAAAATATTAATAATAAAAAATAAAAACCCTCAGTAATTGTGTTGTTTCAGCTCATTTTAGAATAGTAGTTTGAGCAAACAGCAAACATCATTTTTTTGAGTGTATAGAGCAACAAAACTTCACATTTTACTCAAACTCATAGCTGATAAATCCAGAGAAACAATCTGAACACAGCCTGCCTTCACTCTTCATCCATTACTCACCTGTATATTCCAACGACAAGCACAATCCCCATGCATATATGACAGAGCATCCATGCACAGATCTCCATTCCCCATGCAGCACTTGTTTATGCATTTATTGTCATGTGATGATGATTTCAAGGCCCAGATCAAGCCCTCATTCATTCACTCACCGCCAGCTGAGATGAAGAATCTGAATCTGCAGCTCCACAGACCCTCAGGAGACCCTCAGAAACTCCTGCATTACCGTCTCCTCTGCCGTCTGTGAGTTTCAGTGTGTGTGTGTTCACCCTCCTGCTGTGGGATGTGTCTAAACGCTGCGTTTTTGTCTCACCTGCTCTTACAGCTTGTGTGTGTGTGTGTGTGTGTGTGTGTGTGTGTGTGTGTGTGTGTGTGTGTGTGTGTGGGAGTGTCTGTTTGACAGGATCTTGAATAGAGAAACCTGTTGATCTGCTTCCTCCTCCTCCACAGGTGTTCAGATGCTGAGCTGTATTTCTGTGCTCCTGCAGGAACAGTGACAGATGATTGTGCATCAGTGCGTTTGCGTTAACCCTGCGCATCGTTATGTTTTTCCTTTTCATGAAGTTTTTTTTTTGGCTGTGTTAATGCAAACAGGATCACATTTTTTCATTGACTCCCTCACACTCTTCAAATCCAGACTCAAAACTCGCTTATTTAAGATGGCTTTTGATACTTAATTTTATCTGCACTATTGTTGTGTATATTTTATTATTTCTCTTGTTGTTTTATTGCTCTTGTTGATTGTACAGTGTCCTTGAGTTGCTAGAAAGGTGCCTTTAAATAAAATGTATTATTATTAGTATTATCAACTTTCACTATGACTGTTGTAAAAAAAAAAAAAAAAAAAAACATTTTACAAGTAGCCTAACTTTTAGTCTAAATCTTGAACCTTATTCTTAGAGAAAAACTGACCAATGAAAAGGTCTGAAGCACCAAAAGCAGCCTATTACAGTTAATTGTTATACAAATCAGGCTGCACAAAAATCCAAAATCAAACAAAAAGTCCTCAGGGGTAGCTTAAATAATGTGTCGGTGCTCTTTGTTTTAGGGATTCATCAGAATCAACATCAAAATCAGTCCAAGGCACTCAAAAAATGTGGAAAAAATAAAAAGCCTTTATTGACGTGGCTGTTCCTTAAAACTGTGGCTACATCAGGTTACCCTGATCAAGTCACGTGTTATCAAAACATGTAGGGGCAGTTTTAAGAAATAGCCGTGTCAGGAAAGGCTTTTTAACATCTTTTAGATTTAATATTTTAAATATTAAAAATATATTTAATGTTTATAGAGTGCCTTGGCTTAGACTGACTTTGTAGTTGTTAAATGAATTTTGAAGAGAGGCTAAAAGAAAATTGTAAACCTCTTTTTTTTAAATATTTGTTTATTATAAATCTTTAGGAAATATGTTTGGTACATCATAATTGGAGGATACAACAAGCTAATCCAGCTAAAAGTGCTTAAAATGCCCCTTATTGGAGTATTTAAACATCATAATTAAATAGCAAGTGAGGTATATAACTGCAAAAAGTCCACATTTTCAGAAAAAAGAAGCACCCCTTTCACCAGGCTGGCTACAGGCCTGCAAAGGGATAAAACATGCAGAAGGGTCTGCACGCTGCACGGGTCAGACTGAAGTGGAGCGCGCATGTGCTGCCATCTGCTGTTCAGCTCACACAATGACAACTCAAATTTACCAAACTAAAGGTGTCAAAAATGACCTAAACTACGACTGTGCAACACGACGATAAATATATCGTATGGATAAAAAAATTATCGTTTCTTATTATGCTCAATCGTTTATTTCGTGGTGTCACAAAATACATTGTTTATGGTAATACTAATATTACACTACGGTGGGCGCAGTATTACACACAGATGCACACAGAAATGTGAAGAACAGAATCTGGGGAAGTTGCGATCTTGAAAGAACAATGTTTACATTTTGCATTATTTTCTTTTATTTTCACGTTGGACCTGTAATCAATAGCTTTTACATTTATTGTTGATGTTATTATTATTATTATTATTATTATTGAATATTTGCATAAAAATATCTAAACATTTGTAGTTTTAATAAATCTTTCAAAATAATTATTCTATTGTATTGATATTTTACATTTATTCTCTCTCTCTCTCTCTCTCTCTCTCTCTCACACACACACACACACACACATACACATATTTTTACAGAAACTCCAACATTTCTAGATTTATCAAATATTTCAAAATAATTATTTTATTGTATTTTTGTTTTACATTTATTATTATTTACTTTTATTAAAAAAAAAGAAGAATATTTGTACAGACCCCCTTAAAAGCCCCCACTAAACATCCACATAAAATTCTTTAATGCTGATGCAAAGCAATTAATCCACTTTAAAAGGCTTAAAAAAAGAAAATGCACATTATAGGTTTTAGACTTTGTGATCAAAGTTAATCCACATTTCAGCTTTTGCTAATTTATACAATTTATTATTATTTTAATGTATTATACAATATTTTACAATAATTATTTTATTGTATTCTTGTTTTACATTTATTTATTTTTATTATTATGAATTTATAATTAAAAATCTCAAAACATTTATAGTTTTATAAAATATTTATTATTCTAGTGTATATTGATTTTACATATTATTATATATTACATATTATTATTATTCAATATTATATAATAAATGAAAATAATAAAATAATTATTTTATTGTATTTTTGTTTTACATTTATTTATTATTATGAATTTTCATTTTTAAAAATCTCAAAACATTTTTATATTTTTACATTAAAATTTGTATTATTTATACTAAAAAATAAGTAATAATAAAAATGAAAGCCAAAAATACACTAAAATAATTATTCTGGTGTATTTATGTTTTACATTTATTATTTATTTTTATGATCATGAATTTATATTAAACACAATCTCAAAACATTTTTACAGTTTAATAAAATATTTAAAATTATTCTAGTCTATTGTTTGACATTTATTGTTAATATTAATTTATATTTACAAATCTTAAAACATTTTTAGTTTTATAAAATATTTAAAATAATTATTCTAGTGTAATTTTTACTTTACATTTTTTACTCATCATTATCATTATTATTATTAATCTACATTAAAAATTCTCCAAACATTTCCAGTTAATAAAATATTCTAAAATAATACTTTTTGGGGATTTTTGTTTTACATTTATTTATTTATTATTAATATTATTATTAATATTATTTATTATTATTAATTTATATAAAAAATTTAAATCCCCAAACATTTATAGTTTCATAAAAAATATAATATTCTAGTGTATATTTGTTTTACATTTGTTATTATTTATTATTATTAAATAATATATAAAAATCTCCAAACATTTATAGTTTTATAAAATATTTTAAATTATTATTATTATTATTATTATTAATCTAAATAAAAAATTCTCCAAACATTTTAAGTTAATAAAATATTTTAAAATAATATTTTTTTTTGTATTTTTGTATTTTATTTATTTATTTGTTTATTTTTATTAATATTATTTATTCTTATTAATTTATATTTTAAAAATCTGCAAACATTTATAGTTTCATAAAATATTTAATATTCTGTATATTTGTTTTACATTTGTTATTATTTATTATTATTAATTAATATATAAAAATCTCCAAACATTTAGTTTAATAAAATATTTTAAATTATTATTCTAGTGAAATGTTGTTTTACATTATTATTATTATTATTATTATTATTATTATTTTTTTATATATAAAAATCTCCAAATATTTTTAGTTTTATAAAATATTTCAAAATAACTTTTCTATTATATTTTTGTTTTACATTTATTATTATTATTATTATTATTATTATTATTAATTAAAATCTCTAAACATTTCCAGACCCCCTTGAAAGCCCCATAGACAAAATTATTTAATGCTGAGGCGTATAAATAGGAGTAAATGTACAGTATATGTTTGTGAATCTGATATGAGTTAATCATCATCTCAGTTTCCATTCACGTATGCTCCATATCCTGCAAACGATAGCTAACGACACGAGAAATGTGCACAAGAGATGTTTTTTAGTGATTTGATGGCTGTAAATGTGCTCATATATGGATCTGTGGAGCTGCAGCACCCAGAAGTGAACACCAGGCGACCCGGAAGGTCTGAAACTCCCTCTGAAGGCAAAGCCGAAACAACATCTCAAGCTT